GTAGAGCGCGCGCCAAATTAAACAAAAAACTAAACCGAGAGCAGGCCACAGAGCCCCCCCCCCGCCCACGGGAATGTGAAGAGTGTGGAATACTCAGCATTCATTCCATCCTCCCACACTGCCGCACTCTAGAGAGGGGCAAAGAGGAGAGAGCGGACACCCAGACCCCTCTACAATCGCTTTGTGTTTCTTTCTTTGTCGCATATCAATTGAGACAGCGGCGTGCGCTCGCTCTGTTTGCGACTGCCGAGAGCGGAAGGTAAACAAACGGTGGAGGAGGAGAGCCACGCTCCGGCCGGACAGCCGACCGCCAATCATTCACACCCCGGTCAGACGTAACAGATATGGATTGGCGTATTGTTGTCTGATGAAAGATAACGATTTATGGAACCTCCATTCATTATCTGGACCTTGTTTAGTATCATCATCAATATCATCTGCTGTAAAGATAATTTGGATCTTTTTGAGATCAGACATACGTACATGTGTTCCATTTAAATCAACATATTCACTGGACCAGTCGGTTCACATATCTTACTGTTGAATTTAGAGTGCTCTTATTCCAAAAAAAACCGCAATAAATCAAGAAAAAAGTTCGATAAACGAGTTCCCAAATCAACTAACAAACCGCAAGCTTACCAAGCAGCGGAGGAACGGAAGTGGCATGGGGGCATGGGGAATGACCCATCTTGGATAGTACAGGAAACAGATGAAAACTCGATTTTTCGCCAAGAAAGCCGGTCACGAATCACGTTTCCTTCGCTCTCTGGCTGCTCGCTCCCCCTCCCCCTCTATGGTTTCAGGCTTGGCCTGCTTTCTGCTTTCTTTGCTCAAAGAGTGGGAGAGAGAGAGACCCAAACCGAACCGAACCCCAGGGCCGTGCCGTGCCTCTCTCCGAGTGTATGTACGTACGAAAGAGAGCTGAGGCACATCTATCGATCCACGATCGGACCGACCGACTGCGCACTGGCATATCCCATATGAAGCCCGCAAAGCGTATGCTTGAGCGTTCTGGCCAGGTCTCTCAGTTACGAACGGCAGCAACAAGGGAACGGAACGGAACGGTACAGACCAGGCCCGGCCAGACCACACCAGACCAGACGTCGTTGTCGATGTCGATGTCGAGCTCTGTAAGATTGATATTTCCTCTCGCCGCGCCACGATTTGAGTTCGAGTTGTTGTTGCCTGAGTTCACGTACTGCTCGGCTCGGTTCACGCTGCGTGTCGGATCGGATCGCATCGCATCGGATCGGATCGGATAGGGGACTATATAAAGTGCAGGGCAACCCCACTGTTTGGCAGTCACTGCTGGCTCTCAGGCAACTTAGCTGCAAGCAAGGATACACCACCAGTTCGAAGATACCGAAACCGCTTTTGGGATCGCAGATATAGTGCTCGTGCTCCCAGCCAGCTCCCGGTTTATCCTGCCTTAAATTACTTTGTTTAATACGAGTATATTAAATTTCATTCATCGTTTATCCAGCGCGTGTGTCTGTGCATATCGGTGTCTGCTTACTGCTTACTTTACTGTTTAACAAAGCAAAGTAAAATTAAAAATCAAACAGAAACGAAACCAATATAAATAAAGCTCCAGCTGCGGAATAAATAAACAAAACCGTCGCAAAAAGCGCGCGCCAGCAAAAAGTTTCAAGAACAGAGCAAAAAGCAGAACAAGGGAAAATTTCGCTATATATTTTCCCATTTCCAAAGAAGAAACGAAAAAAAAAACCAGACAAAATTATCGCTTTTTTGCAATAAACAAAATCATAAAAGCAAAACAAACCCAGACCCAGACCCAGACCTTGCACCAGACCCCGAACCTGCCTGCTCAACATGGAGGTCCAAAACATGCCAGATCAGTCGCTTATGCCCAACCAGCGCATCATGCTCGATTCCAGATGTGGGGTAAGTGTGGAAACCAGAGATCCCGAGCATCCCGGTATCGATCCCGATACCTCTCCGCGTGGGTGGGTGTACCCGTTCCCACAATCTAGTGGCAAAAGGTCTATTAATACTAAGTGCTGCACCCCAACAATAGATATGCGGATTCTGCCGGGCCAACGCAAATGGTTAAGTGAGTGTAAACAATACGTACGATGGCATTCCTTCCTGGGGGCCAATACTCTGTGATTCGGCAACAGAACATTTTCGAAATATTTGCTGGATTTTTTGTGCGGGGAAATTATTGTATTTAACCCCCCATTGGTTGATGAGAAGCGATTTATAGTTCTTTGTTGAAGTGTATATCGTGTCTTAGGGGTGAAAATCAATTTATATTATTCTTTGATCTTATATCAAAAGAGGCATTTTAGAACCCAGAACCTCTCTATGCACATCTTATGATATGATTTGATGTGATGGGGACAAAGTTGTTTGCTGTTTTCCCACTCTATTAAAATTATGAGATTTCGTGTGCAGTCGGCATTTGGCAGAAGAAAACCCTTAGTTTTGGTCTATAATTTATGGGGTCTGTCAGAGGCGTACATGAAAGCAGACTTTGAAATATTTCGGCCATGGAATATTGAAAATGGAAATGCAAGTGAAAAGCGATGCGGCAGTCGCCGCCACACATGTGCTACAAAATATACACAACAAATTAAAATGCCTTTCATCTAAGAGCCATAAATTATCATGTTAGCTATACGTACAGTCCGTACGGTCGTTTGTTTTCTATTTTTCCACGTCCACGTCCACGTCCCCATACGAACCGAACCCACAACGGATCTAAACGATTTGTTTTGTCTGCTTCTCACACACTTGCAGCTGAACGACTTGTATCCCATCGCTCGTCTGACACAGAAAATGGAGGACGTGCTTAATGTGTCTGGGAAGGCGTCGTCGACCACCCCCACTCCCACACCCACCCCATCGGCGGCCGTCGACAAGGACGACTGCCCCTATACCATCGAGCTGGTGCAGCCCGAAGACGCAGAGGCTGTGATCGCCATGCTCAAGACGTTTTTCTTCAAGGTAAGACTGTTGTATTTTCGCTGGTTCCCACAATTAGGGGACTACATGTACTCGTACTCGTTGGGGAATTCGGTTTGCATATCATCGAAGCCAATCAAGCTGAACACCTGGTTCACTGATTTGGGATTTGTGAATTTATTTCACCCATTATGTCCGACTCCGAACTCAGCCAAGTACTCGGTTGAGTTGAGAGAACGAACAGAATATAAGTAAAACAAAACCCAATTTGAATAGCGTTTCCAAAGAATTTCAATTAGCACTACCACGTGCCTGTCCGTCCGACCGATCGTCTTAATTCGATTTAATTCAACTCGAAAGTCGCACACTAAAAAATCATTGCATTCATTAAGATACGAGTACCACCAGCACCAGTCCTATCCTTTGGGAACGGGATCGGATTGTCGGATTATTCGGCTGTCGCGGTGCGGACATGATCCATGTCAGGGCTAACTTTCAGCTGGTTTTGCATCACGACTTTGTCGTCGCTGAAATCAATATGCCAGAGTTGATCTTTACTTATTCAGGTTCCATTCCACTTCAGTTCGTTCGAAAAGGCCAGCGCCGGCCAATGAGAATGCTACCGCCTACCACCGCCTCAATTTTAATCAAAACTTTCAACGCCGGCTCCACACCAATCCACTCCACTCCTCCCCAATGAATGGCTAAAGGCTTATTGGATGACCAAAGCCCATATTTATATAAATAGTTATGCAAATTATTCATTACACGCGCCACTTGCCACCCGACCTGACCCGACCCCGCTTAAAATGATTTTATGCAAATGCAGTTCCGTTCCGTTCCCTATCAACGTACTGTCTCTATAAATTATAAGACATCGAAGGCGTGCACGAATCACTTAAATTGCTGAACAATTCCATTATCGTGTCACACAATTATGGCTGTAATTTGTTCAGTCGTTTAATGTCTCCGTAAAGATCGCTAAATGTATGATAGTTGGGGTCCCTAAATAGGACACACATTAGTTTGTGTTTACTTGCCTTTGTTCCCAACTTTCATATCTCCACACCTTCTCATCTCAGGACGAGCCGCTGAATACTTTTCTTGATCTCGGGGAGTGTAAGGAGCTGGAGAAGTACTCCCTGAAGCCCTTGACCGATAACTGCTCCTACAAGGCAGTTAACAAAAGTGGCGATATTATTGGGATATTCCTGAACGGCTTGATGCGACGCCCGGTATGTAGAAGTCTATGCCTAGGGAGAGTCTATGCTAATGAGATATTTCATATTTTCCATGCAGTCTCCCGACGAAGTTCCTGAAAAGGCAGCCGATTCTTGCGATCATCCCAAATTCAAGAAGATCCTCTCCCTCATGGATTATGTTGAGGAGAAATTCAACATATTCGACTACTATCCCAACGAGGAGCTGATCCTGGATGGAAAAATTCTCTCCGTGGACACCAATTACCGCGGCCTTGGCATTGCTGGCCGTCTCACGGAGCGGGCGTACGAGTATATGCGGGAGAATGGGATTAATGTTTACCATGTGCTCTGCTCGAGCCACTACTCGGCCCGGGTAATGGAGAAGTTGGGCTTCCATGAGGTGTTCAGCATGCAGTTCTCCGAGTACCAGCCGAATGGGAAGGTTGTCTTCAAGCCAGCCCATCCGCATGTCGGAATGCGTATTATGGCCAAGGAGCTGGATCTGGATGACAAGCAGGCGACAAAGACCAAGCTGTAGATGAAACCAGCAGCTGGTCCGGACTGGTTCTGGTTCTGGTGCTGGTACTGGTCCTCCCTCGTCGATGGCGTTCGATTTTGTACTATGTGATTCTTTAGTTTGTAGTTCGGTGGCGGGTTCCAGGTAGTTCCATCTCAAATGTCTCTACTTTCAATTCAAAATAGCATAAACAAACAGTACAAGTTACGTATTTATCTAATTTAATTCGTCTGTCGATAAACTTAAGTGTTTTTTGTGTTTAGAATGAACTCAAAATAAAAGATTGACTTTTAGCTGAATAGATAACATGGCCATAGAGAGGAATGGGATCGGATCCACTCTCTTAGCTTAGCTTAGCCTCTGGTCCTGCGGCCGTTCAGAGCCTTGGAGCGCCTAGCCTTACTACGCTTGGCCTGGGTACGCTTGGCCTGTGCCCGCTTGGCCCTCAGGTTCTTGTTGCGCACTGAGGCACTCCGGGTGGTCGCAGTGCTGGAGGTGCTGCTGCCGACCCGGATCCTCCTGACAGCCGTGTACTTCAAATTGGAGACTACCACATTCTTGGCGTTTCCACTGTTGCTGGTGCTCGAGCTTGGCGAACTAGACGAGGTGCTGTTCTGGGAATTTGACTCATCCAGGCAGCAAAGAACCACCAGGATCATAATGCAGTTCAGCGAGATTAGCTTCATGTTGAGTTTGGAAAGAGACACAAATCTTGTCGATGCTTGACTTGGATATGTCTCCAAAAGCCCAGCGATAGCGCTTAAGTAGGCGCCTAGATTGTTTGCACAGTTTGCAAATCCATACGAAGGCCGATGAAGTTGTTTGATATTCGCCAAAATAATTAAACAAGAGCAGAACCGGCATTGCCTTGAACTAAAATAAAACAACTAGTGTGTCTAACTACTCTGCCAAGTAATTTAGCTAAACTACATATACAAAGGACAGCTGATTTCTGCACCTTTGCAGACCTGATTCATTGTAGGGATATCGGGCCAGGCGATCCAATGAGTGCCTTCATAAGAAATGGGGTGAATTATACAAATATATTAACCAAAATGCTCGGAGAGGTTACTTCACGGAAGTGAAAACAAGGAAAGCACCAACGATGCCGAAGGCGATCAGAAGGAAGGCTACAGGCGGAATTTACCTGAGTGTGAGGCAGGTAAGCTTAGCATTGTAAGAGTTCAAGGACCGAGCTTTGTAATTTAAATTAATTATTTTATTTTTTGAGTTAAACCGCGGAAAATAATAATGTTTGTAAATGTTCGTTGAAGCCATGACATCAATGTGTGCAGGGTGTTGGGAGTGGTTAATTAAATCATTGCCCCAACTACACGGGCCAAAAAATATACAGGGTACCGCCGAAGATCCTCTTGTGGTTGAAGGTTTCCAGCCTACATACATATATCATAATCTCTGACACTTTTGGTGCAAGGGCTTTGCCCAGGTACTCCAATCTGTTACTGTCCATCTTGTCCACTTTTAAAGGATCTCTTGATTCGTTGAAATGTCGTTCCAGCATGAATTAAAAGCTGTCCTTATCTGGCGATTTTAAATATATTTTGATAATTAAACTATTTTTGAAAAACCGCTGACAATTGAAAGGTGTTGCAAAATGCGATAATATCAGTGCTAGAAATTCGCTAACATGGCCCTGTTAAACAATCTTTGGACTGTAAAAAAACTCTGACAAACTACTAAATTTCATTTTTAACGTTATATAAAAATACAATAAAAGCAAGTGTTAAAATTAAGCCAATCAAGTAGAAAATAGATTCATCAATCGTATAAAATTATGTGGGCATGGCTAGATCTTCCATATAGCTGATATTCGACGGAAATTCAAAATTGAGGGAATCGTCGTATTTGTTGAATCGGTAATGGCCCGGTTGACAACATTTAAATCCTTGTCGCTCACATTCAAAAAAGTTAGATTTGGCGCGCACCACGCGGTATATTTTGAAAATGAGACCGTATATTTTGGTATTTATTTGAATCGGGTAGAATCGGTAATAACCGGTTGGCAACAATGAGTCCCATTCGAAACATAAACATGTTGCTAATTCCATGCACACATACCCTGGGGGAAATGGATGTTATAGAACTGTGAATACGTTTGTCTTCCAAGGCTCAGTAGGTATCAGGATCGAGATAAATATTCACAAGATACTAATAATGTACTTGAATATGTCTAAGGAATATCAATTTGAGAAAAGGTCTTTATAAATCACGTTTCATCTTCATATAAAATTAACGAAATAGGGTGCACAAAGGCCTATACGCGCATCATGTCTTTAAATACCAGCCACATTGCGACTGTTTTTTTTGTTGAACTATTTGGTTTATGCCTTGTTTTAGCCAAAATACAATAAAAGCCAGGACTAAAAACTATCCAATTGTGTAGAACATTGATTCATTAATCGTATAAAATGATGTGGGCATAGATAAAGCCCCGGTTGACAACATTTAAATCCTTGTCGCTCACATTCAAAAAAGTAAGATTTCGCGCGCACCACGCGGTATATTTTGAAAATGAGACCGTATATTTTGGTATTTATTTGAATCGGGTAGAATCGGTAATAACCGGTTGGCAACAATGAGTCCCATTCCATACACACTGTTGCGGCAACATTTACTTGAAAACCTTTTTTTGGTCAAAATAAAATACATAAAGGTAATTAAAAGAAACAATCTTGTAGAAAATGCATTTATCTATGGGATAAAGCTAAGTGGGCAAATCTATATAGCTTGAAATATAGGCAATACCCGATTCGCCGCAGTTTCGCTATTGCAACAATGAGTCCCATTCCATACACAAACATGTTGCTAATTCCATGCACACATACCCTGGGGGAAATGGATGATATAGAATTGTGAATACGTTTGTCTTCCAAGGCTCAGTAGGTATCAGGATCAAGATAAATATATACAAGGTACTTATAATGTACTTGAATATGTCTAAAGAATATCAATTTGATAAAAGGTCTTTGTAAATTACGTTATATCTTCATATAAAATTAACGAAATAGGGTATACAAGGGCCTATACACGCATCATGTCTTCAAATACCAGCAACATTGCGACTGTTTTTTTGTTGAACTATTTTGTTCAAACCTTGTTTTAGCTAAAATACAATAAAACCAAGGATTAAAAACTATACAATCTTGTAGAAAATTGATTCATTTATCGGATAAAATTATGTGGGCATGGCTAAATATTCTATATAGCTGGTAATATTCGACGGAATATCAAAAACGAGGAATATGTAAAAAGAACTTGAAGGCGTCAATATATTTACGGTATATTTTTTAAATGAGACGGTATATTTCGGTATATTTCTGAGTATCGATAAGTCTGCGGTCACACCAGCACCACAAAAATAACAAGATTTTTTAAGATTTAGAAAAAAAAAAAAATAAATTGAAAAATGAGCGCAGAAAAGGCCTTTGAAATGCAACGCCAGGTGCGCCGCAATGCCAAAGAGGTACAAAGTTCGTTGAAAGACCTGTACTCGTGGGAGAAGGACATAAAGAAGAAAGAAATGGAACTGAAGAAGGCGCCCGCCGCTGCCGCTAATACTGTAAGCTCAAATGTGCAGACTCACATGCATGTGTTTTTATATTGTTTTCGTATTCTCATTTGTTTCAGAGTATGCCGGTGCGCAGTCATGTGCAGAAAACAGGAAAAGCCGAGCACCAGAGCCCCAGTAGCTCAGCGGCCGGTACTCCTACTGAGAAGAAAGATCCGCCCGGGGATCCGGTGGCTCGGCAGCATAAGAAGGCCAACGACATAAAGGACCGCGGCAATAACTATGTGAAGCAGGGAGAATACGACAGAGCCATCGAGGCGTACACAGAAGCCGTGGAGGTTTATCCGTACGATCCCGTCTATTACATTAATAGAGCCCTGTGCTACATTAAGCAGGAGCGGTAAGATGGGGTCATGGGGTGTAGAATGTTCCAGCAATAACCAATTTCATTGTGACAGCTTTGACAGTTGCGTGGATGATTGTGAGGCTGCCATTAGCCTAGACAAGCTCTGCGTGAAGGCCTACTACAGACGGATGCAGGCGAATGAATCGCGTGGTAACAATATGGAAGCGCTTAAGGACTGCACAACAGTGCTGGCCCTTGATCCCAAAAACATAGAGGGCAAACAGAGTTTGGTACGCATAAATGAGCGCATACGTAAAAATGGTAAGAGGGAAATGAAATGACATCAAGTACGATATTAATATTATTTTCATTTATTGTTGTTTAATATTATTTTTCGTATTTAATTTCAGCCACAAAAAACGGTCCCAATTATAGCGCGGACCGTCCTGACCTAATTGACATATTGCCGATCGAGAAGCCGGTTTACAAACGCTCCAAGAAATCGATGCGTCGAGTGACCATAACAGATATTGTTTCCCCCAGACCCTCCACTGATGAGGCCCAGCCTTTACGCATCTCAGACGAAGACATTGACAAAATCTTCAACAGCTATTGCGGTCCATACGAAGAGATTAAAAAGGAAGACTTGCAGGAAAATGAGCCAAACCCAGATCCCCCAACAGCAACGCCGATAGTGGAATCTGTTGATTCTGAACCGTCCGCTTCGTCTGCAAAGAAATCGCCAAACCTTATAAAAGATACGGCAACTGATGCAAAACCGTCCGCTTCTTCGCTAAAGACATCTCAAAATTCAAACAGTGATACCAAACAGACCCTGCCAGATGCGGTGAAAGAAGCTAAACCGTCGGCTGACCATCCAAAAACATCAACAAATCTGAACAAAGATCCAGTGAACGAATTGAAACAATTATCACAAAACCCAAGCAAAGATGCTAAAGATACGAAAAAAGAGGCACTGATTGATAATAAACCATCAGCAGCTCCTCTAAAGACATCAAAAACCTCAAACAAAGACACAGAAAATGAGCCCGAAATCGAATCTGCTTCAAAGATCAAGACGGTTGGGGGTGCCACTCCAATGGAGGTAAGACGATTATGTGTTTTTTTTTCTTTGGAAGTGGGTTTAACTTGCAGTATTATTACAGCGAGCATTGCCGCCAGCCCCAGCCGGTACGGCCCAGTTCTACATAACCTGGAAAGAGCTATCTCCAAATCAGAAATATCAGTACTTAAAATCTATAGACATACAAAATCTGTGTAAAATTCTGGGAGCCGGTTTTGATTCGGACACATTCAACGATTTGTTGTGTACCATTCAGGACTTTTACGTGCCTGAAAAAGAGCCCACAACGGCATCTGTCCTACTGGAGATTAGCAAAAATGACGAGTTTCCCATTTTGGCCATGCTCATGTCAGCTGAGGAGAAAAAAAGTAGCTTGCTTACTTATGCTTAATTTCTCAAGTAATATATGTTTTTTCTTTCTTCACAGTGGTGTCGTCTATACTAAAACAGCTCAAGAATTGGCCCAAAAAGAATCCACAAGTGTTAGAGAAGCTCTCAAGGGCCTACGGTGTGGATTAAAATATGTAAGAGTTCTAGTTTACAACGTACTTATTCATATATTTTGATTCAAATTGTTTGTTCAAAGGAATATAAAAAAAAAATGTACAAATAGAAGTTTCAAAATGTAAAAAAGAAAACACCGATTAAAGTACTATTCGTTGTTATGGAAATTAGATACGCCAGAAATAAATGGGGGTTTCCTCACCCAGTAAAAGTAAATCACGTGATATTGTAAATGGTCTGTAAACGAGCAACGTATGTACCTTTAGATGTGTGTATATATGTAAGCTGATGGATAAAAGACCATTTGGAAAAATATAAAACCATTCTTGGAACAGATCTCTGAGGACTGCCAGGCCCTGAATATTGAATAACAAATTGAGTAATACGAATTAGTGTAATTTACATAAATCAGCGTATTAATTCAATCTGCGAGGCGGACTCGCGAAGGAACAACAACTCCATTAAATGATGCTAAGTTGAAAACAGGCGGCGTTGATGGGTTCGGTTCTGTTCTGTTCATCTGCCGCTCACACACACACACACACACTCGTACCGTATCGTATTATTACAGCGACACCCGCGCCAAGGAAAAAACAAAACACGAAGCGATGGAGAGGGAGAGTGTATGCTGGGTGTATGGGGTGGGAGGGGTGTGTGTAATTTAAGCCGGCTACGGGAACAGGGGGAGGGATAATTGCGTGAGAGCCGACGTTGCAGTAAGCACAGGGGCCGGGTTTTACTTAAGTCCATTGTTGCCTCCACTAGTTATAATTTAATTTACATTTTTTCTTAACAAACGCTGGCCTGGCCTGGCTGTGATTTATCAGTTCCTCGAAACGAGAGATCCAAAGAGTGAGAGAGAGAAAGACTGTCTCTGCAGCCAGAGAGCGGCAGCAGTCGAGCAGAGTTGTCACCCCACTCGAAGCCTGAAAAGACGTTACGAATCAAGCCAACAATTTCTTAGAGGATGAGTAATTAATGAAAATGTAAATGTACATCTAAGCAAAATCTTAAATCGATGGAGTCTGCATTCATGGGGATGATTGAACAATTTTTTTGTTTCAATTTGATATATGTGAACAGTGGCAACTCCAAAGCCAAGCTTCATTGAGCAGAGATTCGGTTGTGGAAGTGGAAGAGAGCTTCGGAACAGCTTCGGAGCGCACACGATACATACGATCCGATCAACCACCAGTTGGTGTGGGCACTCCAACGGCAACGTATTATTTAGATAGCTCTAGCGGATCGGGGAAAATAATACAGAAACCGAAATAGAGAAACAAAAAGAGAACAAAATAAAACGCGATCTTAGTTAACATTCGCATCGAGTATACGAAGCGTGAAACAACAGCAGTGACGACACAAAACAAATAAAACTAAAAAAGTGCAACAACAAATTCGTCAAGAATCAAAGTAACGGCAATTCGTGCAAGTGTAAGTGCCTGTGTAGGCTAAGTGTGTGTCTGTGTGTATAACTAATTTAAAGGCAGCTTGAGAGCTAAATCTCGCTAAAACTAACGTATTAGGCGAAATACCAGAGAAATACAAAATATACGCCCCCGCGCAATGATAACACATAAATATAAGTATATGCATATGTACATACGTACATATACTCGTTCGAGTATAGAACGATACCGTTATGTTTGATAAAATTTGAAAAAAAATAAGTGCATGGCAATATTCTATCCATTGTGTATGTGAAAAAACTGGAAATTACGCAAATAATCTACCGAATAATCTCAGAGAAACAAAACATGTGGAAAAACGACTCAAAGCAAAACCGATTTCACTGCCTCTCGAGCAGGTGTACGAGTAATGGTATTAGTAATCGAATAGCAGTAAAAACACACACACGCACACACACACAAAACAGACATGCATGGGAGAGCTGGCTCTCCATGTTTGTTTTTTTGTGGCCGAAAAATCTTGTGAGATGAGCAAAGAATCAGGAAAACAATAGACCTCGCTCCCACTGCCCCGCTGGAAAAATATGCAATAGTGCCGCCTGCAAAAAGCCCTTCCCTTCCATTCGGTCAGTGATCAATAGCTGTGCCGTCGGCGTATCCAAAGAATGCGGCAGAAATAGCGGTGTTGTTTTTCCCATATATTGTTAGTGGGCTGTCTCGTATTGCGATTGCCCCTCGGGGGGCCTGCACATCTTCATCTTCATCTTCGATGCGATTGATGTTTGTTTTTGGCGCTCATCTCAATTACGAGTGTGTGCTGTCCGGCCCAGACAAGACATTGAGTCCGGATTCCTATGATCTTGGCCAGTTTCAGTTTGCTAACTTGGTTAGCGGTTGCGCTCTTTTGTTGTGTTGTGTTGTTGTGTTTTGTTTTGTTGTGTTGTGTGCCCTCTTGTCTGTGCGCGCCGCTTCATCGCTTCATCGCTTGGATTGGATGGATTGGACGGCGGCCCGTCGTCACAGCCTGTGCCAAGCGCTAAAACAAAAAATAAAATAAAAGTAAAACGTGTCTGTCCCATAGCCCAAAAAGACGCTCAAAAGCAGCATCAGCAGCAGCAGCAGCAACAAAAACAACAACAAAGCTACGGCTAAAATCAGCAAAGACATAAAAGTCAACCGGTTGGTTGAGTTTCAGGCACCGCAACAGCAACAGCAACAGCAGCGGCTCCGGCTACCGCTCCCGCTCTAACCCCACACCCACCTCCCCGCACCACCCTTCACCCGACGTACGCGTAAAAGCTAAGAAAATAAGGCCAGCTTCAGGGGCCAAAGCTTTTGATACGCTTGCAGATCCATCGTTCTTCTGTGATATATCGATTTTGATTGAGTTTTACACAACTACAAAGAAAGATACGAGTACGAAACAACAAAGCTGTTGTCACAGATAATCTCTCGATTTTTTCTATATGATATAGAAAATCGAATGATTTGTACAGAGTGTTGATCAGATACAGATGTCGGACCTTCTTAGCTTCTGGTCACAATCGTTATACTTTCTGTAAGGGTATACACATACACACACACACTCACTCGTAGATAAATCAAGATACTTATAAATAACAATCTAGACGTAGATACAGATACAGATACAGATACAGATATAGAAGATGATGCTCGGGGTGGAGTGGACCTCCTCTGAAGCTCAAAAATCTGTTTAGCATAGTTTATTTTTTTGCTAATCGACGGAGAGCGGTGTGGTCCACATGAATGTGGGGGTGGGGACGGGGCCTGGCCTTAGAGTTTAGATCCGTTTAGCTACGTCTCGAAAGATGCTAAATACGAATATGTGATCAAACAAATAACAAATGGAATATTCCGTTCCCTACACGAAACGCAGACTTTCTTTTCGGCCACACGTCGAATGAACAATCTTTATGAATCATCGAAACCACAATTTAGCTGGAGAACGTTAATGGGAGATTACATTAATATTACAATCTATCGATTCAATTAATATTTAATTCGATTATGGCAATCTATTGAGTTTTTTTTTTAAGCATAATGAACTCTCCGAGAGCCATAAGTTTCGAATCGAGTCTTGTGAAATATCTTTCTGGGATCCATTACCCCCTGACTCGCTATTTGGCAAATTGTTTAGCCACCACCCGCTAATTCGATTGATAATTGTCTGTGGCTGCTGCTGCTGACGCCTTTGGCAGACACGTTTGATGTCTTAACTTCATCTGGGGGCTGGAATCAAAGTCATGGGACTGCTGCCAGCACTTCTGGTTGGGCGAGCTCTTCGACTTGTAATTGACTTGTTGGCAAAAGTAATCCCCATCCCAAACTAGCACCAAACTAAAAAAATATATATTTATAACTCAATTTGATTGCTGCCTGCCTGGCCTGCCCTGCGCGTAAGTGCAATTGGCTTTGGCTTTGGCATTTTCATTTCGTGTTTTATTTTTTGCACGCCATTTGAGAGCGACGCAGGGGATGTCATATGGCAGTTGTTGCTCCAGCGGCTGCTGTGAATTTACTGAAATGCTAATAAAACGCTAAATGCCTCGGCCAAATAGCGATTCAAATGCGAAAGCCAATGTCTTAGCGCTGGCTCAAGGATGAGACCACGCCGCTATTGTGTGCCATTGATATGGTGCGAGATATGTTTGCCTCTAAGGCCTGGCCGCACCATATGATGGCGCCTCTGACTTCCGACTTAATGACAGAAACAACAATCAATAGCCACCGACCGACAGACCGACCAGTGACAGACCGACAGGTTTCATCAAGTGAAACTCTTGTCATGACAAGACTCGACTCTGCTTTCGGTTGGTTTATTTTTAGTTGGTTTGCTGCTGCTGTTGCTGCTGTTGCTGTTGTAGAGCTGCCATCCAACTAAATCAAATCACTTGAGTTTTCATTATATTATTGTAAGAGGTTTCGTTCCGTTCCGTTCCGCTTCGTTTCGTTTCGTTCTTATTCTGTGTGAGCCCCCAGGAGATACAAAGCGTTAATTCAATCAAAATCATTGCGACAAAACAACAATGAGAAGACGTAAGAGACGAGCAAGAAGCCAGTCAGTTCGGGTATCCCTCTTCGGACTACGAGATTCCCGAGTGTCTCAGAGACTATCAAAGACTCAATTATGGCTCGAATAGTTACTTAATCGGGAATGTTTGGCGAATGAACAGATACCCTACCCTAGTCTCGTTGGAAGTGCAAACGAAACAAGTCTTCCGATCTCTCGTTAAACATTTATTTTGATTCAATTCAGGCAGAGCAGAGGCAAGAAAGTAAAAGAAACTCTTCAATAGGCATCCCTCATTTCTTGAAAAATATCCATTTGAATTTGAGTTTGAATTTCGGGTTTTATTGGCATTAAGCATACGCCGTGTATGTGTGCGGTACAAATTAAATGAATACTATTTTTATTGCATACTTAAGAGCGTCGCAGAGCCAAATGCCAAGGCAAATGCCAAGCATTGAGTAAATACCTTTCTTTTATATTTGATGCCGATGCCATAATTCATTTGTTTATTAAATGTCGTTAGAAGTGGAGTGAAGCCACGTGTCGGCGGGTATGGGATGCAAATTAGTTGGGGCTGCACAGCATATAGCCATAGTCGCGGAATTATATTATTATTTTGTGACCCGACCCCCACTTAGAGCTGATAAATCTGCTGCCGCCCCAGACATCGCGCAAGTTCCAGTTGGAAGCGCGATTCATTTATCTTTATCTGAGAGCATTCCTGTGTGTGTGTGTGTGT